AGAAAATAGATCACTACAGGGGTATGAGTTTTAGAGGCACACATACTTAAAAGGGGTTTTCTGGTTGAGATCTGTAATGTAGTGTTTCAGAAAGTCAATGTAATGTTAATCGTCCAGTAGCAAAAGATCTTTCCTAGTGGAAGGTGATAGTCTTTTTGCAGGGATGTAAACAGATTGATTAGTTTAATGCTGAAAAAATAAGACAAGGTAGAGATGGTAATGAGGTGACAATGGGCAGCACAGTGGCTAAATGGTTAGCACTTCTAACTTGCAGTACTAGGGTCATTGATTTGAATCCCAACCATGGCACCACCTGCCTGGAGTTTGCATTCTCTCCCTGTGCCTGTGTGGGTTTCCTCCAGGTACTCCAGTTTCCTCCCACACTCCAAAGATATGCTGGTAGGTAATTGGATCCCATCTAAATTGGCCCTAGTATATGTATGAATGTAACATAGGGACTTTAGATTGTAAGCCCATAGAGGGTTAGGGACTAATGTGAATATACAATATATATGTAAAGCACTGCATAAATTGACAGCGCTGTACAAGTACCTGTAATAAATAAATAAAATCTGATCCAGTGGCCTGTTTTTCTGTGGCTTAAGGGTTTCCCTTTGATTAAACACTGTGTTGTGCCCAATGGAGTTAGCTTTCCAATTGGCAAGTCAGACACAAATTAAATTCTGTTTTAATTTGGAAGCATTCTGACCTGTTATCCAGTGTCTGGTGACATTCAAAATGGGTAGTTAGGGCAAATTCTGATTGTGGCTCTTTAATCCTAGATACTCTGCTTTTCTTCTTTTGAGAAGAAAGTTGAAATAGCACAGCCTAAATTGTAGCTTTTTGGCTAGCTATAGATTGAATGGGAAGGGAATTTGCCAATGAAGCATTAAGCAAGAAGTATTCACAAATAGCTGATTCACTGATTTGGGTTACACTAGATTCACTAAGCAAGGATTCAAAAAACATCCACTGGAAAGTGAAAGGCCTCGTTATCTATAACAAATCATGACAATAAGGTGAGAGTTTTATGTGAAATTAAAGGTGGAGGAGAGCAGCTTTCAAAAGATATCAACCAAATGGTATTAATCTAACAAATTCCTAAATTATCAGTGAAAAAGAGCTGCTGGAGAGCTTGGTGGTCATTTCCATAAGTGAATGGCCATCTCTTCATACTGAACAAGAAGGTTAAAGAAGAAAGCTTGAAAATAAAGTCAAGACTCTGATGGTGCTTTATTAACCAATTCAATACCGGGCAATTTTACATCTTCCTGCCCAGACCAGTTTTCAGGTTTCAGCGCTCTCACATTTTGAATGACAATTGCGCGGTCATACAACATTGTACCCAAACTAAAATTTTATCATTTTCTTCACACAACTAGAGCTTTCTTTTGGTGGTATTTAATCACCACTGGGGTTTTTATTTTTTGCTAAATTAACACAAAAAGACCAAAAATTTGGAAAAAAAAAAGTTTTTCTTTGTTTCTGTTATAAACGTTTGCAAATAAATAATTGTTCTTCATAAATTTAGGCCAAGATGTATTCTGCTACATGTCTTTGGTGAAAATAACCCAAATTAGGATGTATTTTTTAGTTTGTACGAAAGTTATAGAGTTCACAAACTATGGTATAGATCTGAATATTGATCAATCCTGAAGTACTGACAGCCAATCTAATTTCTTGAGGTCCAAGAATGTCAGAACAGTACAGATATCCCCCAAATGACCCCTTTTTGCAAAGTAGACAGTCCGACGTACTTCATAAGAGGCATGGCAAGTTTTTTGAAGTTGTATTTTTTTTTTGTCATAATTTTTTGTAAAATGAAAAAATGTGCATGTGATTAGCTGTGACCATTCACAGCTAGACACTAGTATACAATGGATGGCATGAATTAAGCCATCCATTGTATACAACTGTCATGTGACCTGGTGTGATTGGTCACAGCAGGCCACATGGTACCACATGGCAATGTGGCCAATACTCAGATCTGTCATCGGCCGTGTCAGAGTTACACGGCCAGCGACAGATCGCGCCGCTCTGCAGGAGCGCAATCTGCGCATGTGCAGGAGGACGCCATATGGCGTCCACCCGGAACGCTGATGACATTTGCCGCCCGCCATTCGGCCATAGGGCGGGCGGCAAATGGTTAACCACGGGGATTACCTGACAAAAAAAAAAAAAAAAAATCGGTAATAACATTGAGAGACATAGAGCATCAAGAATAGGTCAGGGGCCAATAAGCAGTGTGTTTGAGAACAAACAGAAAAGATACAGAAACCAGAACAATTTTGGGGAAGATGATCCCCATGTGTCAGCAATGTAACGCAATGTAAAGTGGCTGCAAAGGCTGAAGGTTTTTTTTGCCTTCATGCATTTTATGCATGAAGGTAAAAAACCTTCTGTGTGCAGCAGTGCCCCCAGCCCCCCCAGCCCCCCCAGCCCCCTCAATACTTACCTGAGCCTCATGGCGATCCAGCGATGTGAATGACAGCCTCATATGTCCTGAGTCTCTGTCTTCTCATGAACTGAGACAGCAAGTGGGAGCCATTGGACTAGAGCATGGTGATGCAATTACGCACGGACGGCAGACATCTTTCAACTCACTATGCAAGCACCCTGACTGTGGGTTATACAGTTCATGCCTGGTGGGTCTATGACCCGATTTTAACGTTGTGTGAGTAGGTCTTTGGCATTTGTGTATGGTATAATAAACTTTAATCTATTATACTATGGTGGTTTTTTCTCTGATTCCCTGTTTACAAGCCATTGGGAGAGTGGAGGAGTTTTGTAAAGGTGCCTTACCATTGTAATGGTTGATTAACCGTGGACTGTGTGGAAGCTGATCCTGTGTCCATCCAAAGAGTGAGATTCATCCCCTCTGGGACTAACTAGTGATTTCTTATGCCTTATGACTCCTTGAGGGTCAAAGAATGGAGGTAAGCGTGCACGCTAGATGGTGACAGATGGTCTGATGCACTTGAGCACGTATTTATTTTCATGGTCGAAGATTTATTCATCACATTTATACATTTGGGATGTTGTGCTATGTGATTTATGAATATTGTTCATTTATGATCACATGTATTTATATTTGGTTAATATTTGTTTAATTTATATATCACCTATCACTTATATTTAGTCACATTCTTGATAGCATGTTTTTGGGCTACACATTAGGTGCACCACTGTACACCTATATATTTATTCATATAATTTATGTGTTCGTCCATTTAATATTGAGTCCTTTATTTATATTTTTATGTCTATTATCACATGGTATTAGCGCTACACCACCTTACCTACTTATGTTTCATCCATTCTAGTCTAGCTAGGTGTCAGCAGATTCTTCGTTTTTATATCTTTGGCAGCACATGAGTCCACCCCCCTTTATTTAGTCCATTGGCTCCCACTGCTATCAATCACAACCAGTTAGCCAATGAGGAGAGAGAGGGGTTGGTGCCATGTGAATGGACACAGGAAGCAGCGTGTGTCCCCATAGCAAGCTGCTTGCTGTGGGGGCACCTGACAGGAGAGGGGGGCCAGGAGAGCCTGTGAAAAACCACTGCACGCAGCAGGTAAGTATAGACATGTTTGTTATCCCCCCCCCCCAAAAAAAAAAATAAACCTTTAGAATTGCTTTAAAGAAATGACAACATTAATGAAGCACATGAAGAGTTAACATGTCGTCATTAGCCATACGCTAGAATGCAACAATAAATTAAATCAAGCTATAACAGGCCCTTATATGCTAGTATAGTGTAGACAAAAGTATTGTATAACAGTGCTTAAACATGAGAGTCTTAGACAGAATAGGTAAAGTGTGGACAAAATTGGTTATTTGACAGGCTGAGAGTGTTACGTAGGTCTACATGGCTGAATCATTGGTAAGAAGGGTTGGTTCCTGCCCAAGGAGGAAGGTTATAAAGAGTTTGGGTAAAGGTGCAGATACTGGGAACAAGTACAAGCTTCAGTGAATGATGTCACTACATGGGTCTTGCTGCTTTACACAAAGGTTAATTCAAAATGATCATCATTGGTGAGAGATCAGCAAACAATTTCTTTTGATTACCCTGGAATGAGAGGGATTCCACATCTTGTGCTGCCTGCTGGAGCTTTTCTTTAATTCCATAATTGTCAGGGCTCCAGGGTGTGACCAGAGGTATGTGACTGATGCAGGGAAATGCAGGCTTCAGATATGTTATAAATATAATTTATTAACACTAACAATACAAACATAAACGCAGTGCAAAACAAACCAAACCAACCACCCACAGATAACAGTACATACAATGCAAGCGTCGTCAGGCAGGCCGGGATTATCAACAGGAGGTCAGAACGTATGGGGTTAAGCAGGAGAATGGTCAGACAAAGCCAGGGATCAGAAGCAGGAGAATGGTCAGACAAAGCCAGGGATCAGAAGCAGGAGAATGGTCAGACAAAGCCAGGGATCAGAAGCAGGAGAATGGTCAGACAAAGCCAGGGATCAGAAGCAGGAGAATGGTCAGACAAAGCCAGGGATCAGAGCAGGGTCAGCAAAGAATCAGACAGGAACAGGAACAGGGAGCAGGAACAGGATACAGGGCCCAGGAGAAACACACACCAAGGCAGAGTCTGCAGGTCTGGCCATCCCTTAAATACACCAGTATAATCAGTTCCAGGTGTTTAGCTGGCTGCAAGGTTGAGTCTCTGATTGCTGGGAGCACCCGCTGGCCAGCCCTGGTACTGCAGCTCATAAGGCAGGTGAGTCCCACCATTGCTGGCCAGTCCATTCCTGACAGTACCCCCCCCCCCCCCTCAAGGAGCGGCCTCAGGACGCTCCAAACAGTCCTAGCTGGGCAAAATGTTCCACCGCCCGGGTCTGGTAACTGGCGGGATATCAAAGACTGGCACACCGGGCAGACTCCGGGCAGCGGCACACCGGGCAGGACTCCGGGCAGCAGCACACACGGGCAGGGGCACACCAGGCAGAGGCACATTGGGCAGAGGCACACCGGGCAGAGGCACATCGGGCTGGACTCCGGGCAGAGGCACATCGGGCTGGACTCCGGGCAGAGGCACATTGGGCTGGACTCCGGGCAGAGGCACATCGGGCTGGACTCCGGGCAGAGGCACATCGGGCTGGACTCCGGCAGAGGCACATCGGATTACCAGGCGGAGCAGCAGGCAGCGGGCCACCAGGCGGAGCGGCAGGCACCGTGCCACCAGGCGGAGCGGCAGGCACCGGGCCCACCAGGCGGAGCAGCAGGCACCGGGCCACCAGGCGGGGCGGCAGGCACCGGGCCCAGGCCAGGCGGGGCGACAGGCACCGGGCCCCCAGGTGGGGCAACAGGCATCGGGCCCCCAGGCGGAGCGGCGGGCGCCGGGCCCCCAGGAGGGGTGACAGGCATCAGGCCCCCAGGAGGGGCGACAGGCATCGGGCCCCCAGGCGGGGCGACAGGCACCGGGCCCCCAGGCGGGGCGACGGGCATCGGGCCCCCAGGCGGGGCGATGGGCATCGGGCCCCCAGGCGGAGTGGCGAGCGCCATCGGGCCCCCAGGCGGGGCGACAGGCATCGGGCCCCAGGCGGGGCGACAGGCATCGGGCCCCCAGGCGGGAGCGCGGGCGCCGGACCCCCAGGTGGAGCGACAGGTCTCGGGCCCCCAGGCGGAGCGGCGGGCGCCGGACCCCCAGGCGGAGCGACAGGTCTCGGGCCCCCAGGCGGAACGGCGGGCGGGCGGGCGCCGGACCCCCAGGCGGAGCGACAGGTCTCGGGCCCCCAGGCGGAGCTGCGGGCGCCGACCCCCAGGCGGAGCGACAGGTCTCAGGCCCCCAGGCGGAACGGCGGGCGCCGGACCCCCAGGCGGAGCGACAGGTCTCGGGCCCCCAGGCGGCGGCAGGTCTCAGGCCCCCAGGCGGAGCGGCGGGCGCCGGACCCCCAGGCGGAGCGGCGGGCGCCGGACCCCCAGGCGGAGCGGCGGGCGCCGGGCCCCCCAGGCGGAGCGACAGGTCTCGGGCCCCCAGGCAGGAGCGGTGGGCGCCGGACCCCCAGGCGGAGCGACAGGTCTCAGGCCCCCAGGCGGAGCGACAGGTCTCAGGCCCCCAGGCGGAGCGGCGGGCGCCGGACCCCCCAGGCGGAGCGACAGGTCTCGGGCCCCCAGGCGGAGCGGCGGAGCGGCGGGCGGACCCCCAGGCGGAGCAACAGGTCTCGGGCCCCCAGGCGGAGCGGCGGGCACCGAGTCACCAGGCACGACAGTGGGCTCCGAGTCAACTGGCATGACCGCTGGCACTGGGTCAGACATTGGATCGTCTGGCTGGACAGCGGGCATCGGGTCACCAGACATCAGGTCATTTGGCTCGACAGCGGGCACCGCGTCATCTGGCAAGGCAGTGGGCTCCGAGTCAACTGGTATGACCGCGGGCACTGGGTCAGACATTGGATCGTCTGGCTGGACAGCGGGCATCGGGTCACCAGGCATCAGGTCATTTGGCTCAACAGCGGGCACCGCGTCATCTGGCAAGACAGTGGGCACCAAGTCACCAGGCACGACAGTGGGCTCTCTGAGTCAATTGGCACGACAGCGGGCACCGGGTCATCAGGTACCGCATTGTCTGGCTCGACAGCGGGCATCGGGTCACCAGGTATGACAGCGGGCACTGGGTCACCAGGCATCAGGTCATCTGGCTTGCCAGCGGGCACCGCGTCATCTGGCAAGGCAGTGGGCACCGGGTCACCAGGCATTGGATCGTCTGGCTCGACAGCGGGCATCGGGTCACCAGGTATGACAGCGGGCACTGGGTCACCAGGCATCAGGGTCATTTGGCTCGCCAGCGGGCACCGCGTCATCTGGCAAGGCAGTGGGCACCGAGTCACCAGGTACGACAGCGGGCTCTGAGTCAATTGGCACGACAGCGGGCACCGGATCAGGTACCGGATCATCTGGATCAACAGCGGGCATCGAGTCAACTGGCCTAATAGGATCATCAGGCTGGATCAGTTCATCATGCTGGGTAGAGGCATCAGGCTGAGGCATCAGGCTGAGGCATCAGGCTGAGTAGGGGAATCAGGCTGAGTAGGGGATCAGGCTGAGTAGGGGCATCAGGCTGAGTAGTAGGGGCATCAGGCTGAGTAGGGGCATCAGGCTGAGAGGGGCATCAGGCTGAGTAGAGGCATCAGGCTGAAGTAGAGGGCATCAGGCTGAGTAGAGGCATCAGGCTGAAGAGAGGCATCAGGCTGAAAGAGGCATCAGGCTGAAGAGAGGCATCAGGCTGAGTAGAGGCATCAGGCTGGCTGGTACAGGCATCAGGCTGGGACCAGGCTGAGGCTGAAGTGCGGGTGCCGAGGCACCAGGCTGAACCACGGAAGGCAGGTTCTCAGACGGCAGGCTCACCGGTTTGGATACTGGCAGGATGGTACTGGTTGGAAAGAATTTTCGCTTTTTTCTGGTTTTAACTACTGGAGCACTGCAAGTAAACGCAGGTCTGCAAACGAATGGAGCAGCTGGAGACAGAGAAGAGCTGGAGGATGGAACAGGAGAGGGAGCAGTTTGCTACAGAGGGCTTTTTTACAGGGTTAAAGGCAGGATAGGTGCAGCGAGTGGGAACAGGGTACTGACATGCGGTAGATAGCAGGGCAGGAGGAGCTGTTGGGAATGCAGGAATAGAGTTTTGAGGAAATAGATTAGAAGCAGGACTGGGTTTTTGTAGGCTGACTGAGGCTGGGTGCAACAAATCTGTCCATGTCTGCAGTATGGGTTGAACAAAGCTGAGCTTACACAAAGCCTGTCTGACCAAAGACTGCACTGCGTTTATACAATCTCTTAGTGTCTGTGGTGAACATGCAGCATAATGCTCCAAGAAGCAATCCACATCATCCTCTAATAACCATACCAGGGACTCTACCTGGTCGGCACTAAATGGCGGCAAAAATTCATCCCTGCATTCGGGGGTACCAGATGAAACCAACTCCGCACAAATCTGAATCAGTGGCTGCACCTCAGAGAATTCTGTGCCCTGATCTACTAGAACATGAGCGAGCCGTATACATTCTAGCAGTTCATCCCGGGGATACTCCTTCAGAGTTTGATAAGCATACTCTCTGTCATCAAACACTAGCAGATATAAATACACAACCTCATCAAGATCCATCCTTCCCATCAACAAGCCAAGATGGCTTCCCTGTGCAGCCACTTCTGGTCAGGATTGGCCTTGGTGTAATGTCAGGGCTCCCGGGTGAGACCAGAGGTGTGTGACTGACGCAGGGAAAACGCAGACTTCAGATATGTTATAAACAATGTAATTTATTAACACTAACAATACAAACATAAACGCAGTGCAATACTAAAACATAACACAGTGCAAACAAACCAAACCAACCACCCACAGATAACAGTACATACAATGCAAGCGTCGTCAGGCAGGCCGGGATTATCAACAGGAGGTCAGAACGTATGGGGTTAAGCAGGAGAATGGTCAGACAAAGCCAGGGATCTGGAGCAGGAGAATGGTCAGACAAAGCCAGGGATCAGGAGCAGGAGAATGGTCAGACAAAGCCAGGGATCAGAAGCAGGAGAATGGTCAGACAAAGCCAGGGATCAGAAGCAGGAGAATGGTCAGACAAAGCCAGGGATCAGAAGCAGGAGAATGGTCAGACAAAGCCAGGGATCAGAAGCAGGAGAATGGTCAGACAAAGCCAGGGATCAGAGCAGGGTCAGCAACGAATCAGACAGGAACAGGAACAGTGAGCAGGAACAGGATACAGGGCCCAGGAGAAACACACACCAAGGCAGAGTCTGCAGATCTGGCCATCCCTTAAATACACCAGTATAATCAGTTCCAGGTGTTTAGCTGGCTGCAAGGTTGAGTCTCTGATTGCTGGGAGCACCCGCTGGCCAGCCCTGGTACTGCAGCTCATAAGGCAGGTGAGTCCCACCATTGCTGGCCAGTCCATTCCTGACAATAATAGTGTAGTTAGACCAGGGGCGGACTGACAACTCATGGGGCCTCCGGGCAATAGGGATCATGGGGCCCCTGTGTCCTTGCCCAAACTCAAAAAAAGCCTATGAAAAAGGTACTAGGGGCATCTCATGGGGCCCCCTACTGACCCTGGGCTCTCGGGCAGTGCCCAAGTTTCCAAATGGTCAGTCTGCCCCTGAGTTAGACTATAATATCCCTTGGAGGGCCCTCCAAGATGTGGGCTGTCAGAACTTGATAAATACAATCAAACATCAAATGTTTGATCCAGAACACAGGGGTCAACTATTGAAACAGAGTAGTGACAGATGACTGCAAGTCCACAATACTCTCTAGAAGGCCAAGAAGGTGTAGGTTCCTCTTTTGAATAGTGGTAATATCATAGGGACTGCAAGGCCAATGTGCACTTACCAGTGTCCCAGATTTTTTTAGCCAATTTATCAAACAATTTCTTGGAAATTCTAAGGACTTCTGCAAAATGGTTAGTTGGTTGGAGGTAGCCAGTGATAATCATTCACCATTCGAGTGTTCAGGGTGTTGCAGCTTGGATGACACCTTCAAGTCCTGGTACACTGGTAGGAGTGTTGTGAGATAAAAGCTGCAGGTGCCATAGACTCACTAATGGAAATTTTAGGTATTTCCAGCCCACATTTATTACTTACCAACTTTAAGGGGTAAATCCTACAGAAAACCATAAAATAAAATGTAGCCTCCTGGCCTCTAGGCTAAGTACTATGCTTTGTCTCAGCAGCCCTGCTTATTCCTAGTCACAGACAATCTGGCTAGAGATTTCCCTCTATACTATACCTCAATAATAGCAGATGGCCAAGAGTGTGACCAGCTTAGGTCTCTTCTTTATCTACCCTCTGCACACTGCTACTTGTCTGGATACTTGGGTCACGTATTTTTTAAAAACAAGGAATATCTACTTTAACATACTGTGAATCAAACACTGTCTCCCCGAAACTCCTTCTTCAGCATAATATAAATTTAATGTGACTATTACTGCTCCTTCTTCTGTCTCTCCATCATCAGGCAATGGGAATGATTTAATAGCAATCACATGTCTGAACGTTGCAAAGTGTAAGTGCCTTTTTATAATTACATTCCAGCAGGTAGCACAACCATTAAATCTGAAAGAATGGACTTTCATACAAGTGGAACTATATGATAGCATTCTAAAAACAATTTAATCAGAAAGAATAAAAGTTAGTACAAGAAATTGTCTTAGGTAAGGGCCCTACTGCTGAAGAGATCACAGTTACAACTGTTTAAACAGGCAAAACCTCTCAAGAAATGTATTTTACATTTAAACCTATTTTACAGGAACACCACAAATAAAATTTGCTAATTTTATCCGCACAAGAAAATTTGTATTCATAATAAATATGCATGAATAAAAAACTTAAAAAGGAAAAGGGCATAGGGGAAATATGTTTTACAAAGTAAATCAAATGTAAAGATCTTTCTTTGAAAAGGCATTTCTGCAACATCTTCTTTCAGTTTATGAAGAGAATGCATTCATTTTCATATTCATATCTTGATATTATGGCAGGTGAAAGCAGTACAAACCCATGAGAACAAATAAATCTAAAATCCTTAAATTTCCCTTTAGACCTGTTGATAATCATATTCATATGCTTGACTATCCATGCTTGTCTTGCATGGTGGAATAGTTTTAATTGTTTGCATGAGGGTAATGTCACTTTGAATACAAACAATGAACTTTTGCATAGACTGCTTACATTCTATACTATTATTATACAACATTTGTTTTTTTTTTCATCTAAAATTTTCACAGGATCTAGTACAGAGCCATAAATGTCATAATTGTCTACAGAAGGAACCATCACAAAAACATCAACATATTAGCAGCATGAGATATATAAAATTGAAAGTAAAAAAGAATGACATGCTAGAGTCCAGGGATAATCTGCTAACTTCAGAATATCCCCTGTGGGTGCATGCGGGGCAGTGGTTTGAATCATTATATCATATGAATCTCACGGCAGAATTCTTCTGAAATGGTACTGCACCAGGGGCGGACTGACCACTTGGAAACTCGGGCACTGCCTGAGGGCCCAGGGTCAGTAGGGGGCCCCATGAGATGCCCCTGGTACCTTTTTCATAGGCTTTTTTGAGTTTGGGCAAGGACACAGGGGCCCCATTATCCCCTATTGCCCGGGGGCCCCATGAGTTGTCGGTCCACCCCTGTACTGCACCATTACATTAGCACCACTCTTTGCAGTATTAAGGACCATTTGCTGTCCTCAACAGAAGCTTGAAATGTTACACTAGAAGTTAGGAGTCACAAGTTTGCGGTCCATACAGCCATAAAGATATATGTGCATATGTCTAGTGTGCTGAGCTTGGACCTATAGAGAGAAGAGAGCCTGTGCATTTTTTTAATTATTTAAAAAAAAAAAAACAGTCTTTTATCAAATCTTAAACATTACAATCTACAACTACAAGTTAAACTGAACAGTGAATTAATATCAGCTGTGAGTACCCAAATAATGTAAATAACCATAATAAAATTAAGAATATCCCCATAGAACTTGACAAATTTACACATCTAAATAAACAGTTAATATATATTTGGAAGTTGTTTAAGTTGGCAAAGGATTTTAAAATATGTCCAGCCATTCTTGAGATCTACACATCCCTGTTAGAAAGCAAAGTTTAGTTCATGACCTGACTTTTCTCTACCACATCAAAACCAGCATTTCCCACCTTCTGGGGGGGGAAGCCATGATGCTGCAGGAAGGCACGCCACTGCCAAGCATTTAGAGCCTGCCAACTCTGAGTACTGTATGTGCATTGCATCATTAACCTCGTGCCATGGGTTGCCTGTAATGTTCATTTTCTCTGCAGATTCCAGTATGACTCCAGAAAAGCTGTGGAGATGTACACTGTACAGGTAGTGGCAGGGACACCAAAGCACACTGCAGATGCTACCAGTAAAGAAAGTGACTGAGTGGTGGAAGGGGAATGCAAGAGGTGCAGAGGAAAACCATGGAAGCTATAGATGAGGGGTGCAAAGATGAGCTGTGGATGAGAGGAGCAGAGATGGGCTTTGGAAGATAATGTAAATTGTGCAGAGTGAGTTGTAGAGGAGGAGTTCAAAGGTTAGTGGTAGACAAGGGGTACAGAGGTGAGTAAGGGCACCAAAGTAAGCTGTAGACATGGAGTGCAAGATCATTAGATCTACTCCCGTAAGTGATATTTCTTCTTCTTGTCTAGTAACTGTTTTTTTTTTAGGTTATAAAATTTGTACAGTATGAGTAGGGTGGTTGGGAAGGGATGAGAGTTCAACTGCGACCAAATGCAAGCTTGACTAAACTAAAATGTTGGCAAACTACTGTGCCGTAACAAGCTATAAAGCTGGAAATTGAAAGATTATCAAAAATACGCATGAGTAAACAGTGTGTGCTCTTCTCCTGTAAGAATTTTTATTGGCAGAGCAGCTTCATGTAGCAGAACTGAATGGTTATTAGTGATGTCCCTCTCTCTCTCAGTATGAGTACAGGAGAATACAGGCAGCTGACACCAAGTGAAATTCAGGTATTCAACATATTCAGTCTAAGGACAAAACAATTTCTGATGATCCTGCCAGAAATCCAGTGAACTCAGACATTCCTGCAGTGAGTTGACAACACAGTCTCTACTGCACTGAAATCCTAAGCAATGTTATCACCCCTGTCCAGTTCACTTCTGTGGACTACAGAACTCTTATTCCTTTGTCATGGAGATGAGGAGGGGGTGAGGTGCTCCATAGTCCAAATTAGGTGCAAGAAGCCAAGATGACAGCACTTCTAATATATACATTTTTTACTGTATAATCTGAAAAAAGTGCAGTTTCTTGGCAAGAAGAGAAAATGTCACTTAATGTATGAGTAGCTGCAATGATCTTGCAATCTATACCCACAGTTTACTTTAGCACCCCTCTCAGGGTTGCCAACCATCCAAATTTTAACAGTTTGTAAAAATCCATGGATGGGAGAAGCTGTCAGTAAGAATATGAGTGGCTGCAGTGGGGATAATTTTTACCATGATGCAAACAATTTAGGGTGCAGCACATGTACTCTCCACTTCCTTTGCAGCATAAGGAGGAGCAGTTTGGAGGCAGTTAAAATGTGGCTTGGGTGTGCATTTTTAGTGCTGCCCAAACCCAAGTGTAAACAAGGTCAAAGCTTCTTTTTTTTTTTTTTACTTTTTACTACTACATATCTCGGAGTCTTGATGTTATACAGGATTGCTGATCTGATGACATCTGCTTCAAACACTGCACTGAGGCCTGAAAAGAAAAAAAATTTAAATCTTCTATTCATAGTTACATGTGTTGTTTTTCTAATGGCTTCAACCCTTGCTGTCTACACTGAACACAATTTGTCTTAATATTACTCTCAGGCACCATTCCCACAGGCTTTTAGCCAATCTGTCAATCCCAGGCAAGAATCTTTTGATTCCTGTGGGTGTGATTGGCAGTAGAGAGCAGATATCTGCTGCCTCTGAGTCCATACAGTGCAATGACAGGCTGTTGGTGTCTTCAGCTATTCATGACTGTCCACAAAGGTAGTGATTACTTGCTGTGATTATGGATGGAAACACTTTGGGGTTGATTTACTAAAGGCAAATAGGCTGTGCACTGCAAGTGCACTTCAAGCGCAGTTGCTTTAGATCGGAGGGGAAGCTCTGAAATGAGGTAAAGCTCTGCTGACTTCACAATCATGTGCAAGTAAAAATGCAGTTTTTTTTTATTTTGCTTGCATGTTCCCCTCAGATCTGGAGCAACTGCACTTTCAGTGCACTTCCGCATACACTTGGAGTGCACTTACTGTGCACAGCCTATTTGCCTTTAGTAAGCCAACCCCTTTGTACAGAAAAATGCAATTTATTTTTTTATGATCCTTTGTTCTGGAGTTTATGTGTATCTCTGACACTTGTGACACAATAATTAGGAGTATTTTGTGGGTACTAGGACTATGGTTTGTGTGCAGTGTATACAGCGATTAGCCTTAGGTTCTGTTCATTCATCCCCCTTTAAGTATCTCCCACAGTTAGGTGCAAGCAGGCCATGGCCATAATTTGGCATGATGTGCTAAGCATGCTGAAGATCTTGTTTTCCAGTTTCATTCCAAGATTTTCATGGTCTTATTATGGATATGCTTTGACACATGCACATTTGTCTTGTGGTTTAGACTTTTTCACTGTAAAGCCAGGCAAATTACTTATTATGGGCATTGTTAATGTTTACATATCGATAACATTTTTAAATATTATAAAAAAAATCAATTCTTTAAGTTCATAATAGGAGATTGTCATATTTTAGGTTGTCAGTAAAAAAAGTGCCCTGTCAGTAAATGTATGGTCAGAATAAATGTTGCGGTGGTGGGGGGGGGGGGGGGGGGTTGGCAAGCCTAGTAACTCTTCTGTCACTCACCTATGCAACCCTCAGTTGTCAGTAACCCTTGCAACCCTTATCCCCAGCTTATATCTGCACTCATCCTCAGCTTCCATGGTATTCTTCTGCACCTCTTGCATCCCTCTTCCATTGCTCACCTCAACCGTATAGATTGCAAGCTCTCACAAGCAGAGCCCTCTTAGCCCTAACCTTCTTGTCTTGAATTGTATTGTTAACTGTACTTTCTCCCCTTATTTTGTAAAGCACAGGGCAAACTGGTGGCACTAATTCAGTTTGTTCAGATTCGTTTTTTGGATGAAAATGTAATTTTCAGAGATTTGGATGTATCCAAATTTCCAAAGAACATAGTAACGAATCTGAATGAATCTGAAAAACCTATAACAAAATTTTTGGATTCATTCAGATAATTAGTTTTGATTGAGAAGAGCCTTTTGTTAAAGAGTGGGTGGCCACCATGTCCTTAACAACAATGACTCATCTGCTGTCAGTGGGTCACCAGAATGTAAACAAAAGAAGTGTTGGTTAAAATGTAAAAAACATTGCATCCATGGATTTTAAGGGGGACCCCACACTAAAATTTAAAATAAAATGGTGTACCCCCCAGGGGCGGACAGACAACTCTTGGGGTCCCCGGGCAATGGGGGATCTTGGGGCCCCTGTGTCCTTGTCCAAACTCAAAAAAGTCTATGAAAAAGGTACCAGGGGCATCTCATGAGGCCCCCTACTGACCCCAGTGCCCAGGTTTCTAAATGGTCAGTCCGCCCCTGGTACCCCCCAAATCCATTCCTGTCCCTTATCTGAGTATGCAGCCTGGCAGGCCAGGAAAGGGGTGGACAAGCGAGCACTTTGATGGGAGACTTATCAGAATCTGTAAACCTCCTTTAACAAAAAATATGACAATAGTAAAAAAAAACACAGAGACAGTTTTTGACAAGTCCTTATTCAACCCCCCCCCCCCCAAAAAAAAAAATAGTTGTCCCTCGAAATACAGTGCTCAGTATAACTGAGTACACCCCCAAACAGATTTAACAGAAAGCATTTACTTTCCTTTCAGGATCAATATTTTCTATGGGACACTACACTACAAAATACTCCCACAAATGCAGGCCATTGCTTGCAAACAAGATTTGTTAATTTGTACACACAAAAAAAGTATTTTTCCTAACAAATTAATTCAAGACCATGTTGCAAGAATGAATACACCCCAAGGAAAGTCTTAGGAGCAAAGCTAAATTTTAGACAACACAATCCTAATTAATGAATACTTAGACCCACCTGTAGTTGAATTATTTTTAAACAGGTATCCAGCAGACAGCTGATTATATAAGGGCATTGCTTAATGAAGAAATCCCCTTCCCATTTCATGCTGTCATCAATGGCACCAAAGAAAAATCTCACAAGACCTGAAAAAGAAAATAATTTCTTTACACAAGAAAAGGGAAGGCTACAAGAAGATCAGCAATGCTTTACTTATCAGTCAGAATACTGTCACAAAAGTGATTCAAATATTTAACAAAGATAGAACTGCATCCATCCCACAGAGACATCCAGGCCGTCCACAGTAGTTAACACTTCGACAGGAGCGTCTTCTGATGAGAAGGGTTGAAGCAAATCGCCATGCAAGTTCACTGCAGTTAGCTAAAGAAGTAGAAAACCAAACTGGGGTGATTGTTTCCTGTGACACAATATGGCGTACACTGCAGAGGAATGGCATGCATGGATGTCATCCACAAAGAAAGGCCCATCTAATGCCCATGCACAAAAAGGTCTAGAATTTGCCAGGGTCTATGC